TCAGATGGTAAAGAAATGAAAGGAATGATTTCCTTCCATTGTTATTTTTGTCCATGAAACAGTCTGCCACCAGCCCAGCAAACAGTTAGTAGCATATCAATTTTTTATTTAGTTATTTATTTATTTTGCTTTAGGACAGATAACAAGGTCAGTGGTCCCACAGATTTGTTCTGAATACACACTCAGAGACAGTTAAAGTCCCTACCCAGGAAAAAAAAATTGTGGAATTTCAGAAAATGTAACAGAGGAATATTTGCCTAAAATATAATTTAAATTAACTTAAATGAATGTGTAAAAAGTTTTCATTTTTCTCCTTTTCATTTCCAAAGCCAATGTCTCAAAAACCATCATGTTACACAATGACACTATAGTGGCAGTAAGAATCAAGAAGTGGGCTGGGGATATATGCTCAGCTGGTAGAGTGCTTGCCTTGCATGCACAAAGCCCTGGGCTCAATCCCCAGCACCACAGGGAAAGGGGAAAAAAAAATAGAGAAGCATCTATTGGAAGTCTATGTTCTGGAATTCAAAACTGTACTGCTGAAGACATGACCATGAACAGGATAGTTAGAATATTTTGACTGATATAACAGTTACTATTCTGTTTAGTATGATTAGCAAAGCTATCTTTTAACTAATTCTAGTCTGTTTTAATTTAGTAAACAACTCTGCTGTGTCCTACGCAGTGCATCCCCCGAGGTATTACATATGCTACTTTGGACATCTAATCAAATGCATGTGGATTGTGCCTAATATGCTCATAAGTATAGAATGTTGCTCTTTTTGTTTGTTTTGACTTTGACTGCATACATTCCACCTTGAACCAAGTGATGTATCAGGTCACATTTTTCTTCTATACCAAATTCTGACACTTCTCACGACCTCTACCACTGCTGCCCTACACCAAGATCTCCTGTCTGAATACTCTAGTTACTTGGTCATATGTTTCCACGCTTGTCCCCATAGTCTAGTGTTCCCTTTAAAGGGTTCCACCAGAAGGGCATTTGCAAAACAGATCTCATTGCTTTCTGGCTTGAAGTCCTTGTTGGGGTCCCCAAAGTCTTGCATAGAGTGGCCCTGGACACCTCTCTGACCTTCCCTCCTGCCATCCTCCTCCTTGGCCATCCACAGCAGCCATGCTAGCCTCCTTACTGATTCCTGACAACACCAGGCACACTCCACCTCAGGGTTTTTGTTCTACTGTTCTCTTCATATCCACCTGAGTGGCTCACACTTCTGTTGAAATAAACTCTTATCAGAGGTGTTTCCCATCTTGCTTGAAATGACCACAATCATCAATTCCTAAACCTTTGCCTTGATTTTTTTTTTCCCCTTTTGGTACTAGGGATTGACCCAGGGATGCTTTACCACTGAGCTACATCCCCAGTACATCCTCAGATCTTTTATTTTTTATTCTTTTTTCTTTTCTTTTTTTTTTTTTTTTTTTTTTTTTGAGACAGGGTCCCTCTGAATTTCCTAGGGCCTTGCTAAGGTTTTGAGGCTGGCCCCAAATTTGCAATTCTCCTGCCTCAGCCTACAAAGCCACTGGGATTACAGGCATGTGCCACCATGCCTGGCTACCTTGATTTTTCTTAATTTGGAACATTTCTCATGTTTTATTATCCATTTATCTTCTTATTTCATGACTCTCTCCCCACATTAGACTGCAAACTCCATGAGATCAGGACTTTGGCAGTCTGGATTTCACTGCTTTATCACTGACCCCTAAGCAGTAGTAGCACAGAGCAGACCCTCCAGAAATGCATGTAGCATAGAAAAAGAGAGCATGAACAAATGATTAAATACATTTCTTCCCTACTTAGAGTGGCTGTTAGGAAACAGCAGCGTGCACTGCCTGTGACAGTCCAGGTGTGTCAACTGCCAGCTAACAGTGCACAGATGAAAGGAACATAAAGCAAAGACAGTGAATGCTGAAGATTGGAGCAGCTTTGCAAACATGATTCCTTGAGGCCAGTATCTAGGCAGGTGTGATACAGCCTTGCCAGTTCAGTAATCCTTCAGTCATCAACTTGTTTGCAGAAGATAACAGGAACCCATACTGATTCAGCTATTCATCCAAAACAGACTGCAGGGCTATGGGCAATTTGGTTTCACAAAGTCATCCAGGAGCCAGGTGACTGGCGAATTTTTTGTTGTTCTTTTGCCTTCCATGAAATGATCTCCACACGCTGAGGCTGTCTCGCCAGTATCACATCTGCAAGAAAGGGGGAATAAAGGATATTGGAGAAAAATAGCTTCCTTTTAAGGAGGTGACACAGAAACTTCACATAGTGCTTTTGGTCAGATTCAAACTTAGTTAAGTAACCATGTTCTAGTGCAATATAGACTGAAACTAAGAATCTGGCTGCGTGGCCATGTACTCAGCTAAAACACTGGGAAAATAAAATTATTCTAGAAGAAGAGGAAGAAGGACACTGGGGGATAATGGTTTAGTTGAGTGCTATGAGGCAATCTACTGTGTTTCAGATGCTGTTCAAGGCCCTATAATAGATACAAAGACAATCCCTGTGTTTTATGTGTTACAAAACAGCCACATACAATAACACAAGGTAGACTATAAAATCCATAATCCAGGCACAAAGCACTACCAAAGGTATTCAAAGTCGAGGGATTGGAATTCTCAGAGATGAGGTTGTTTTGAGGGGTGGGAAGGAGTGCATTTTGGATGGAGCGAAGGGCTAGATGGGAGAGAGTGGAGTTCTAAAGAAGAGCAAATCTCAAGGTCTGATTCAGCTCTAGCATAAAGGGAGTTGTGGAGAAAGAAGCTGAGGACTTCTTTCCATTTCTTTTATTCTTTCATGGAAACAGCTAAAGGGTTTTTGATTGGGGTAGCAATAAGATCAGATTGGGCCATATAAAGACCATCAGTGAATATAGAGTGAGTGGGAGTAGGGAGAGACAGAACAGGGATAGAACTGATAGAAGGTCAGTGTGTTTTCTTATAAGACAACTTTGTAGGAAATAAAAAATAAATAAATAAAACACCACTAAAATCACCTTGGTCAATATTAAGCTGAATGATGAGTTATTAACATATATTTATTGAATGCCTGCCATGGTTAGACTAGTAGCTCTCGGATGATCTGACCATGGACAGGAAGAAGCAAATGTCTTCCCCACAATCCATTCTCACAAATATAGTTGGAAACCAAAGTAGAAAACAATACTTCTGACAAGGTATTCTCTTTAACATAGAGGAGACTCTATGTTTTTATTCTTAATTCTATACTGAGCACCTAAATTTTTTGTTTGAAAAAAATTCTTTACATATCATAAGCAGGGCAGGAGGAATACAGTATAAGAGCTCTCTAAACCTTCTAAGAGATTATCTCTGTTAAGGGAAGGAAAACCAGGCACAAACACAAATAACCACAAGAAGGTAGGGGAGCTATGGAGGGACCTAAGAAGCCTTCTTACATTTCATGTAATTAGGAGGAAAATGAAGTGCAGAAATATTAATAACTTAACTCACAAAGTAAAAGTGCTGAAAATGCAAGATAGGCAGAACTTCTCAGAGAGATCTAAGTCCTTTCTCATGTTATTGATTTTTTTTAAAAAATCAGGATTACATAATCATGGTAGATACAATGTTAGTTTAATTTGAATTGAGCAATTAATGCTTTTAATACTAATGCTATGCAGAGGTTCTATTCATGAGACAATTAAAGCATTTATTTAAATATTCACTTATGGTCAGTCTTATATCAGTGGCTGTAGAGAGGATGGCTTACTTCAGTCAAGTCAGTGAATCTTGGCGACTGAATTATCTACCCTTTCAAGATAATATCAAAAGTATATGGGAGGCTGAGGCAGGAGGAACATAAGTTCAAGGTCCATTTGATCAATTTAATGAGACCCTGTCTCAAAATAAAAAATAAAGGAAGAGCTGGGGGTGTAGTTCAGTGGTAGAGCACCCTGCATTCAGTCTCTAGTACTGTGAAAGAAAGAGAGCAAGAGAGAGAGAAACAAAGAAAGAAAGAATGCATGAATTTTTTTAAAAAGTATGCATTTGAGGCCTTTAAGCCCTTCATAAAAAAGCACTAGTCAAATGGACCAACTCTACCCTTATCCCCATCCCCCATTTCCATCATAAAAGACTGGGGTATCTTGATTTTCATTTCTAACCACCATCCTAGGATGTTATCCGCTCCTTAAAAGATTTTGTGCTCCTCTGAGTCACTTGGTTGTTCTCTGTTTTGTGGGACAGTCTAACATCCCAGGATATGACTCTGAGATGTTGAATAAGTACTGAACCAGATGTTTGAGCTACATGCCTTATTGAACTTTTTGTGTATTTTCCTACCTTGACTGTTTTCCACTGAGAAAAGTATCATAATGCAAGCTTTTAAAATGTTATCAGGGAATGCAAAACTTTCCATTAAATAAACCCACATTAATGTGTTAATGTCTTCCATTCTAAACTCTTTGTTGTAATTTTGTAAGGCATTGCTCAATTAAAACATGTTAAATTAAATTAATTCCTGGAGGTTTAGAAAAAATTGATTGTGACGGTATGCATTCATATTTTACAAGCTTAATAAGAAAGTTGGGTATTATGTGGTATAATTGCAACTAAAATAGTTTTATGTCTGATTATTTTATTCACCATTATAAAGAATAGTAAAAATTATGTGATGGTCATACTTTAACATTCTAAGTTTTTGCAAATAACTTTGGTTTGAAATTTTTTAAAGGAAAGATACATACAAATATATGTATACACACACATAGTGTAAGCTATTAAATGATTTATTGTAAAATAGATAATGCATTACATTTTTTCCTTAGGCCCTTCTGCCAATATTTGGATTTAAAATTTATAGAAATTTCTTACCATGTTTAAAAAAAAAAACAAGGTTCTTTACAGTTGTTTTGGCATTTGTGGTTTGAACATAGTTGTACTGCATTTTTTAACAACTAAATGAATTCCACATGAAGAGAGCTCTTCTCACTCTCTTTCCTCTCCATTGAAACCCACAGACGTCTTGCCGGAAACGCTCTGACATACATTCCCAAGGGAGCATTCGCTGGCCTTTACAGTCTTAAAGTTCTGTAAGTAAACCAAGTATTATAGGATGTATTTCTGATTATAGTGTCAAATGGCTGCTGATTAACTTGTAAAGATTGACTCCCTCTAATAGGCTACCAGGATGCTTGAGAGAATTCATTTAAAGTCAACTCTTCCTTCACTGGTGCCATAGAACTATACTACACTTGGCTAAATTTGTGTATGAAAAATAAAATTTGTATCTCTCTTTCTAACTTTAATATCTCAAATTGTTTGCTGCTAAGTAAGTACCTTACCAAGTCAAGCTTTTAAATGAATATTTATCTTTCCCTCTGTTTTATAAAGTTGGGAATGTGAATCATATGATCTTGATCACTGAATAAATTGCTATGATGCTGACATAAGATCGAAGCTTCAAACCAATTTGAAGGTTGTTTCCTTATGATGCTCTGAATAAGAACCCACTAAAAACTATCAAGTTTGTGTTCTACTTGTGAGTGGATATGTGAAATCCTAGTGCATAGCAAATGTAGGCATTGTTTAATTAAGAAATCTTAATTCATTGAGAATTATAAATGTAGTTTTCTTATTAATGTCCAACTTCCCATTTGGTTTCCTAAGGGAAAAAAATCATATTTTTGAATACTTTTTTCTTCTAGTACCTATTCCTTACATTTCTTTCATTTTTTTCTGTGTAGCAACACCTACATAGAAAAAATCAATAGTGCAAATTGAAAGTCATTCTAGGAAAAATTTCATCTCAGGAAAAAAATCCTGATTTTATTTTTTCTTTCTTTGAGATTAAAGTTTTTGCCTCTTAAAAAGCATTATGTCTGCTTACTGAAAATTGCATTTCAGTTGCCTGAAGTATGAAGGTTTACAAAAGTACTTTAATTCAATTTAATATTTTGTTAAAAATTAAATTCAATAGTAGAACTATTAGTTGGCCTGCTTAAGTGATGTGGTTTGCTTTCCTTTCTCAGTTTAGGTCATATTTGCTTTTAAGAAGAAATATTTTTAAGTTGTCATATTGCCAAACGTTAATGCTAATCCATCTCATAATATGATTCTGAATTGTAGCATTAGGACCAATGTGCTTATATCTCCAGGAACCCAGCAAAATATTTGAAACCATTCAAAATACATCTTGAAAACCAAGTTTGGATAAGACAACTAAAGTGATTTTTTAACAAAATTTATAGTGTGTGTATGAGCTAGTTTATGTGTATGTGTGAGTATATCTCCAGCCATCATAATTATATTGGAAATATGAATATATTATGTGAATGCATATGATTATGTAAACTATTTTAATTACATAGAAATATCACTTAAAATTCTTCTCAAGTTTGAATTACTCAGATTTTTTCCATCACAACATTATAAAAATTTTCTAGTTATGCCATCATAGATTTCTAATTGTACCATATCTCTATTGACTATTTCCCACAATATACAAAAGGTGTGTGATTATGGAGACATGACTTGTCTTGGTCACTAGTATACTCCCAGCTTCTACAGCAGTACCTGATTCATAGCAGACCCTCAATAAATTTTTGTGAAATGAGTGATTCATACCCATGATACAAAGAGAACAAGAAAGCTCCAGACTTGTCAATATTCTCTTAATTTTGTATGATGCTGATCCAATACTATGTGTTTATTAATGTAATAGCTATTGTACATGAAAACAAAAAGGTGTTTTCATATCTGAAACAGGCATCCACCTGCAAACAGGCTTTGTTTACCCAGAGTGCTTATGCACACACTTTTTGCTCCCTATGGTGCATTTTCTTGAACACCTCAGAGAACATTGGCTTAGTCTGATTGAGAAATAAAAACCACAGATACTATGGTTTGGATATGGTTTGAGTTTGTCCTCTAAACATTCATGTGCTGGATGCTGGATCCTTGTGTGGTGGTGTTAAGGTAGGAGAACCTTTAAAAGGTGGGGGCCTAAAAAAAAAAAAAGGTGGGGCCTGGTGAATTACTTCATTAGGAGTGCCATTCTCAGAAGGATTGATGTTCTCACCAGGACCCTATTTAGTTCCCAGGATAGCCATTTAAAAACAAAAACAAAAAAGGCAAGCCCCGCCTCCCTGAAGCTCTCTTGCTTCCTGTCTCACCATGTGATTGCTCTGGCACCTACTCCTGCCATTATGATGCCATCCTTCCCTAGGCCCTCAGCAGAGGCTGAAGAGATACCACCAATCTTGAACCTTATGGAGAAAAGACATAGGTGAAATTTGGGAGAAATCCAGAATGGCTACTCTGATCTTTGTTGATAAGGAAAATGGAGAACCATGTGCCCTTGTGGCTCCTGAGGATGGGCTGAAGCAGGGACCTGGACCTATCAAAACCTTAGTTGGGAGATCTCAGGGTTCAACATCACATGGTGGCAAGATGCTTGATGCTCCACCAGCCTTACCTAAAACTGCCAGAAAGGCTGTGGGAACTGTCAACAGAGCTACAGAAAAGAGAGCAAAGACCAATGGACCCCTCAAACAAAACCAATGTTCTCTTTCAAAAAGATGACCAAGAAGACTGTTAAAGCAAAGAGCTCTTGTCCTGCCTCCAATGACACCTATCCAGAACTAGAAAACTTTCTTTCCCTTCAATCTTTTAGAGTTTGAGAATTTTGACACTGGAAGAGCACCAGACTGCACACCTCCCCTTGGGTGGAGTGCCTATAACGATCCTTGACTGGGAGAACACTTGAAAAACTATTGCAGCTGGGTCCCCTTCACCTATGAAGAAACCACCACGAACACGGCACTGTGGCAGTCCCCTTCAAGCATTCTGTCAACCCTTGAAGTGGAATTGCCATCTGTTTGCTATAACATGAATTCCCACCCACGTCCAGTGCAGGCAATGGAAATGGAGTTCCCTTCAGTGGAATGGTTTGGCTGAGAAATAAAAGCTAAGAGAAATAATACAGAGAAAAAAACCACCGAACACAGAAAGTAGTTTCAAAAGCGGGGACAAGACGGGCAAGCTGGCAAGCTGATCAGACAGCTTCTGGACAAAATGGAGCCTGTGCCAGCTTTATTGGGAAACATCAAAGAGATTCTATAGAATGTTCTTTTCCAAAAAAGGTTAAAGCTGGGCTGTTCAGTTACCAATGGGTTTCGCCCATCTCCAGAGCTACTATGAGGAACCTTCCTAGCAGAGCAGAGGGAAAGGTCACGTGCATTGGGCAATCTATTGCCATGGGAGAGCCACAGAAAGTTCCCAATGTCAGGCCTCCCTCCCTGGCTTCCATGCCCAAAGAAGATCCTCGTGTATTTCACAGATGGCATCCCACGATGAATATTTAAATTTCTTAGAGCTTTCTAGTTTGTGTATGTTAGTTTTAATAAAGCATTTGTTTAACAGGAAAAATAATTAAAAAGAAAAGATCTAAATAAATCTCTGTTCTTTATAAATTTCCCAGCTTTGAATATTTATATAGCAACAACAACAACAACAAAAAAGGTTCTCTCACAAGCCAACCAGTTAAATGTGCCTTTTCACCAGAAAAAAAAAAAAAAAAAAAAAAAAGGAAGGAAGAAAGAAGTATGGTATGAAGATCCTCCTTTTATCCACTTCTAATTAATCAAGGTTTCCTGTCCTCTATACAGTCAGGGTGTCAGCAAAGGCTGGTAGTGGGATACTCAAAGTAGCATTAAACAAATTATTACTGGAAACACAAAGATCAATAAATATGGTTGATGCCCTTGAAGAGCTTGCAGTCTAGAGACAGATTGTAGGCTCAAGCTAGTGGGACCAAGACAAACAGATCACCTCTGATTCTTGGAGAAAGTGTATCTAAAGATGTGTGCAAAGCTGGACACAGTGGCACACGCCTGTAATCCCAGCAGCATGGTAGACTGAAACAGGATTTTGAGTTCAAAGTTAGCCTTAGCAACAGTGAGTTACTAAGCAACTCAGTGAGACCCTATCTCTAAATAAAATACAAAATAGGCCTGGGGATGTGGCTCAGTAGTTGAGTGCCCCTGAGTTCAATTCCCAGTATAAAAAAAAAAATGGGTGCAAGCCCCAGGGAACTTTGTGGTTCATTTAATCCAGGCCAGTGGTTCAGACTTGACTTCCTGGGAGAGAAGGTTTTCCAGAGAGTTCACCCAGGAGCTGAATTTTGTAACATGACCTTGGAATGAGCCTCCCAAATAAAGTGACCAACTAAGGGGACAATACGCTCAGAGACAGAGGCACAGAGTCAAGACATGGCATGGGGAGTAGCTCCAATACAGTTAGTACTCCAGCATTCAGGAGGAGATAAATGATGGAAAGCATTTGGAGAAAGCTTGGAAAGATAGAAAGAATTCTTGTTGCAGGAATCCCACATGTCCTGTATAAATGGATAAGCCAAGGAAAAGATGTAAGAAAGGAAATGGCATTTTCAGACTTTACAATTTAGCTAGACCATTATCCATGTCAAGGGGAACAAGATCTTTTCTTTACATTGCCCCTTAGTGACTAACATTCAATGAGTGAGCTCAAACTGTTAAATATCTTGAAACTATTTTGGCATATAGAGCAATGGTTCTTAAATATGGTGATTGTGGCAGTTACCACATGTTTAGGAAATCTGTGGGGGCATCTTTGGTTTATGATTGACATGTAGTAAACTATACTGCAATATATCACATAACCCAATGTAGAGAGAATTCTCCCACATCCTATTTGATTTCTGACTGCCCCAACACACCAAATATAAATCAATAATACTTGAATTCATGATTATACTGAAAGATTTTATAAGAAGTTCTGCATAAACCTAATAATTTGTACAGGAAATTTAAATGTAATAAATATATTCTCTCAAAATCATTGAATAACTGTGTTGTTACCTCTTGACTATTCCTGTATTGTAGGACTTCTAATCACATATTCAGTTTAAAATAGTGTTGGTACAATAGAATTACCTCAAAAGCCACAAAACAAATCAGAAATATAAGTAAATGTGAAACTCCTTTGAAATAATTATTAAATTAGCTGAGAAGCAAGACACAGGGATCTCATCTCATTGGATTTAATTAAGCAA